CATGCCCTTAGAATCAGCAAAATAATGCTACAACCAAATACCAAAATATCAAATTTTTAGTTCTCCTAAAACCTTCTTGTGAAGGGAGATCACAACCCTTATACAAGTCACCAAGGCGGTTATTTCATAGTGAGGTACCAAGAATGGAAAAAACTACAAAATAACCATAAGATGACAAGTGGCTAACATGAACCACTCTAAAACATGCTAGTGACGCTTGATTTTCATGCAACCTTTGTATGATGAGCAATGACACATGGCTTTTATGCAGCTACCTGATGGCTTGTGTCTGACATGCTTACATGACATATGGCTGACATGCAACCTTCCAATGACTGAGTGAGTTATACGTGGGTGTTTATGCAGTCACTTGATGACATGTGTCTTCCTTGCAACTACCACAGTGATAAGTAGCTGACAAGTTGCTTACAAACACACACCTCAAAGGCAAGTGTTTTAGAAGAAACTAAGAAACTATCTCAACAACAACTTGCTTCTAACTAGCCATCCTTTTACCCTAAGGCTAAGGAAGCTTACAAAAGACAGAGCACATACATGTTTATAGCCTAAGCTAACAATAATAATCATTCAACTTAATTAAAGGAAAATCTTGCACCTTAAATATTTTTTCTTCCCTTCTCAAAACATAGTACAAACCACTTCACCCACTTAAACCTACTCCACTAAACCTAACCCACTACACCACTACCACCTCACCTACTCCACTAAACCTAACCCACTACACCACTACCACCTCCACTTCACCTACTCCTTACCTACTACACACTCACCCTCTTCTATATATAGGAATCATGAATCATTATAATAGAAATCAACATATCAATATACATCAATCAATAATACATCAATTTTAACATGGTATCAGAGCAAGGTTAAGAACTTAGTATTTTTCGCTTCACCGGCGGGCGGCAACCTCGCCTTGGCCGCCCGCCAGACCTCAACCTATTCCACTTATTTTCTACACATACCTTCCCATCATTCCCCAAGAGAGAGAGAGATGGTGAGGTTGGTCTCTCTCCCGTCTGTTCTGCTGTGCGTGTTTGCTCTCTGAATCAGTGTGTCCCTCGTCCGTATGTGTTGTGTGTCTCCTCCATACATTCTGCACCAAATCGCGTCTACTCAAAACCAGATCACCGAGAAATTTCACCACCCCCATCAGCACTGACAGATATGAGCCCGAGAGCTCACAGTGGTCATTTTGAGGACTATTGCTTCGGTACAGCACAGAGCAGCCCACAGTACTACTCTGCAGCCTCCAAAGACATGAGCTCGAGAGCTCACAGTGGTCATTTTGAGGACTATTGCTTCGGTACAGCACAGAGCAGCCCACAGTACTACTCTGCAGCCTCCAAACCCGAGTCCTATCCAGAGTCCTTGACATACGAGTACTCGTTCTTTCCAAATTACATGGCAAATACTAAATCTTCAATTGCAAAAGTGTGGTCGCAGAGGCTCTTGACTCCAAAGTCAAGGCCTGACTCATTTGGTGGTTTCTAAGTTCGGTGGGTTGGTATGTTGTATCATAATATATTATATTATTATAGTATGATATATTATATTGGCCATTAGCTAGATGTTGATGTTGTTTCTAAACTAAACCTAACCCACTACACCACTACCACCTCACCTACTCCACTAAACCTAACCCACTACACCACTACCACCTCACCTACTCCACTAAACCTAACCCACTACACCACTACCACCTCACCTACTCCACTAAACCTAACCCACTACACCACTACCACCTCACCTACTCCACTAAACCTAACCCACTACACCACTACCACCTCACCTACTCCACTAAACCTAACCCACTACACCACTACCACCTCACCTACTCCACTAAACCTAACCCACTACACCACTACCACCTCACCTACTCCACTAAACCTAACCCACTACACCACTACCACCTCACCTACTCCACTAAACCTAACCCACTACACCACTACCACCTCACCTACTCCACTAAACCTAACCCACTACACCACTACCACCTCACCTACTCCACTAAACCTAACCCACTACACCACTACCACCTCACCTACTCCACTAAACCTAACCCACTACACCACTACCACCTCACCTACTCCACTAAACCTAACCCACTACACCACTACCACCTCACCTACTCCACTAAACCTAACCCACTACACCACTACCACCTCACCTACTCCACTAAACCTAACCCACTACACCACTACCACCTCACCTACTCCACTAAACCTAACCCACTACACCACTACCACCTCACCTACTCCACTAAACCTAACCCACTACACCACTACCACCTCACCTACTCCACTAAACCTAACCCACTACACCACTACCACCTCACCTACTCCACTAAACCTAACCCACTACACCACTACCACCTCACCTACTCCACTAAACCTAACCCACTACACCACTACCACCTCACCTACTCCACTAAACCTAACCCACTACACCACTACCACCTCACCTACTCCACTAAACCTAACCCACTACACCACTACCACCTCACCTACTCCACTAAACCTAACCCACTACACCACTACCACCTCACCTACTCCACTAAACCTAACCCACTACACCACTACCACCTCACCTACTCCACTAAACCTAACCCACTACACCACTACCACCTCACCTACTCCACTAAACCTAACCCACTACACCACTACCACCTCACCTACTCCACTAAACCTAACCCACTACACCACTACCACCTCACCTACTCCACTAAACCTAACCCACTACACCACTACCACCTCACCTACTCCACTAAACCTAACCCACTACACCACTACCACCTCACCTACTCCACTAAACCTAACCCACTACACCACTACCACCTCACCTACTCCACTAAACCTAACCCACTACACCACTACCACCTCACCTACTCCACTAAACCTAACCCACTACACCACTACCACCTCACCTACTCCACTAAACCTAACCCACTACACCACTACCACCTCACCTACTCCACTAAACCTAACCCACTACACCACTACCACCTCACCTACTCCACTAAACCTAACCCACTACACCACTACCACCTCACCTACTCCACTAAACCTAACCCACTACACCACTACCACCTCACCTACTCCACTAAACCTAACCCACTACACCACTACCACCTCACCTACTCCACTAAACCTAACCCACTACACCACTACCACCTCACCTACTCCACTAAACCTAACCCACTACACCACTACCACCTCACCTACTCCACTAAACCTAACCCACTACACCACTACCACCTCACCTACTCCACTAAACCTAACCCACTACACCACTACCACCTCACCTACTCCACTAAACCTAACCCACTACACCACTACCACCTCACCTACTCCACTAAACCTAACCCACTACACCACTACCACCTCACCTACTCCACTAAACCTAACCCACTACACCACTACCACCTCACCTACTCCACTAAACCTAACCCACTACACCACTACCACCTCACCTACTCCACTAAACCTAACCCACTACACCACTACCACCTCCACTTCACCTACTCCTTACCTACTACACACTCACCCTCTTCTATATATAGGAATCATGAATCATTGTAATAGAAATCAACATATCAATATACATCAATCAATAATACATCAATTTTAACACAACTTAATTAAAGGAAAATCTTGCACCTTAAATATTTTTTCTTCCCTTCTCAAAACATAGTACAAACCACTTTTCCCACCTCCATCCTTCATGAAACTAACCCACAACATAAATTATTTGTTGAATGTTAAGCAGAAGATGTAGTTATTGTTTCATTAACTTTATGATCCTGGGATTAATCGAGATGCGTGCAAGTTGGCCCGGACACGTAGGTATAAAAAAAAATTGATAAATAAAAATTACAAAGATGGAGAAACCATGGAGAATTTAGAAAATATTTGCATCTCTTTTTTTTATTTTTTTGATAACTAGGCATCCGAACCAGCTTACGCACATCTTGACTAATCCTAAAGGCCTAAAATTATTGACCAGGCAAACCTCCAGTGGCCCCTTGGGTGACTAGATCTAAAGAATATAATCAATTACCTTCTAAAAAATCCAGCAGCTTGTTCCTAAAAATATACAAGCTTTTTTTATCCTCCACTCACCACAAAATCAATTTCTGGGTGGCAGCGTTCTAAGTTCCTGAATCTCTGTTGTATCAATGCATTCAAAGGTTTGGAGCCCCCCAAGGATTACATGGATCCCTCTTTGCTCTCTTTTGGCAAGTTTGGAAGGGGATTCCGAGAATTTTCGATTGGCTTCTTGTGTTTTAATCAATAGGTGGTATGTCTGCTGGCCTTCTGCTGCCCATGCATTAACCAATCTTGTCAACTTAAGTGCAGTTCCATCTTATCATACTGTGAGGGAAAATGTCTATATAGCCCTTAGTCATTTTTATGTTGGCTATTTCACTCCAAATATTATGTTATTTTAGGCTAATTACACAGACCTCCTCTGAGGTATCTGACAGATACAGGAACCTCCGTGAGGTTTCTGAAGTTACATTTTCCTCCCTTGTTTTGAAACCCCGCTTCACATACACTTATGCTGTGTTTGGTTGTGGAATTTGGGAAGGGATTTGGAATGGGAATGGGAAAGGAAAGGAAAAATGTGCGTGAAATTAGGTGAAATGTAGGTATATTTTATTCACATTTCACCTATCTTTTCTCTTTCTTATTCTAAATCTCTTCCCAAATCCTCTAACCAAACATAGTGTTAGTGTTTTTCTGTAATTCTCCAATTTTACTTGCATATTGATATAATAATCCTCTTTCTATCTAGACTCACTCTATTTCCACATTAACTAGTCAAGCTTGTAATGCGCTTCCGTGGTATCATTGAGTATAGGCTTTTAACCGTTTTAAATGAACATGATGACCGAGTTCTTTTCCAGCAGTTTGATTTTTACCCAAATATGGAACTTCCTCGTGATATTAAAATGAGTGTGTTGTATTTTGCAGGTTTTGAGTTGACATGAGGCATATAACAAACGATGTAGAAGTTGAATGGCTTAAATTATAGAGTTTCATGTGTGTGTTACAGCGGCAGCTGCCTATTCATTTCACCTGCATTTCATTGAGGGAGTGGATGATGTCAACTAGTTTTCCAATCGCTGGCTTCAGCTTTGTCCCTTATTGTTGTAATTAGTCAATTTTTCATACTTACAATTGACGGTTAGATAGGGAATTTACTGGTTATTTGTGTTTGTCGTCCCCCCACGGTTTTAAAGGGTACAGCCTTCTTCTGTATTGTTTTTTTCTCAGTAAGGCATAGTGTCAGTAAAGAATAGTGTTGTATAATTGTGAGATTTTTGGTGCTCTTTCTTCCCAAATACAGTTAATTGTTTTGAACTTAATTTTCTTGATGTTGATTCCGTTAATTATACAAATGAGATAAAAAGGGAATGAGCAAAAATGTTTGCTGTTATCTGTTTCTTGTTCCCCGAGGAATTTTTGGGTGTTAGGGTAGATATCATGTGGTACATTCTTATATTATGCTTGAATTTGATAGCATGATCCATTATATTTATGTTGGGTGTTTGAAAGATAATAGAGGACATATGTATTTGTGATTGGTGGAAAATAACATACAAAAATTTCTCAGTTCCCCTTATCAATAACATGAACTCTCTCCCTCTCTACACACACATATCTATTGACATGCTTTTGAGTCCTTTATTCAGCATATTAATGGTGCGGTGTGCATTAGGAAAATGCTAGAGGTCCCAAATTTTCTACCAAATAAATGACCAAATGTCTCACATGGGTGTGGGGTTTATGTGAGACATTTGGTCATTTGTTTGGTAGAAAATTTGGTGTCTCTAGCATTACCCGTGTGCATTATTTCTTAGTTAATCAGACAATCATTGTTCGACCTGCCCTTAAATGTAGAGAATTAATGTGATCGTTGTGGTTCATGGCATTGGAGCATTTGAACAAAATTGCTTGGTGATTGGTTGAATTGTCTTTTTAGCTAAATTATAAGGTGGTGTTGAAAAATTTACGGGTTAACCATTTGGATAACTGGTAAAAGGTAAATTATACAAATTTCTCTTGAATTTTTTAAAAAATATTATAAGTTACAGTTTCGGAATAATTATGTTGATCGCCCTTTTGATAAGGGTAAAGGGAATGTAAATAATAAAGACATAAAAATAAATAACATAACATATATATTATAGTGTAGAAAAGATGATAACATTATTTTTCTTAAATGTGACTAATAATTCTATAATGAAAAATATATTAGGTCCTATGAGAATTAAAATGTAATTATGTTAAATTTATAAGTTTATTTTATTTTTTTTAAACTTCGAGTAAGGTCAATATAATTTACTCTTTATTTAATTAATTTTGCTAAATTTGTATTAGAAATTTAAAATAAAACATACATCAAAAAATCAAAGCAACTTCTCTGTAGTTGTCAAAGTGGATTGGAGACTCGTAGGCCATTACTGGCTGTACTTCAATGATCTATCCAATTGATCTTTTAGACTAGGATCAAAGTGAGGTATGTATCCAAACAAACTAATTTCTTAAAAAAAAAAAAACTATTTAGTTAATCATGGCATACCCAAAAATGTTAAATATTCTAAAAAATTTATAAGAATTTTTTTTTTAAAAAAAAGTGAGTTTCATAGGATAATAGTGTCACACTCACCCTTTTGGGATGTTACCAAAAAAGGCTAAAAATCAAAAAATAAATAAAAAACGTAAAAAAGTCAACAACAAAAAAAATTCAAAGATTCATTCCCCTTCACTTCATTTTTTGCATAAAAAATTAAAAAATCATCACAAATATATTAATTTTTTCATTTCATATTTTAACCCAAAAAAAAAAAAAAAAAAAAAAAAATTAACCCAAAAAAAAAAAAAAAAACAGTAAAAACACTTATTCCCAAACAAGGCGTGAATATTGTATAATTTTATTACTAATATTTTTAGGGATGCTAAGCAGTGCTCATTGTATATATATGGGGCTCATTTGGGAATTTGGTTGTATTAGTTGGTTTTTTAATTATTTTATGAGACGAAAAAAATTGTGTTTAAAATGATTTATGAATTTTTTTTGTAGTTGAATATATGGTTGTGAGAGAAAAAATAATTGATTAATGTGTAAAATATAATATTTTGTCTTATTGATTATTTTGATTTTTTTTTTTTTGTGTGTCTTTATTAACTATTTTAGCCTAAAACCATCATCCCAAACACCCCCATAATATACTACGTCTCTTAAATAAAGATTGAGAGCTCTAATTTTGAAGTTCTAAATAGAGTTCTAATGATATGACAAAGAGTAGGGCCCACATAGGATGTCATGTGTGTGCTTATATTTTTATTTTTGTTTTTTTTTTGGATTTTTTCTCTTGCCACATCATTAGAGTTCCAAAATTAGAGTCTTCTATCATTGTTTGTTACCCATAAATGACCCCTAATGATGTAACATTGAGATTATACCTCACATGATGAAATATTTGACAAATCAAATTTTGATACTTGTTAGACAAATCATTAGGGATAGCTTTTAGAGATAGATCTCTCAAGCATATTTGTAGGAGAATTCTATTATACACACCCCATACCGTATGCACCTTTAGTTGTGCTATTTTTTTATTTAATTATAATCAATTTTCTTTTTTAGTTATGATATGATATTATTTTGAGATGTTTAGTTATGAAGTTTTTGTGTTTAGTTATGACATTTTATTTTTTTAAGTTATGACTCTGAAAATATGAAATTATGTCATTTTTTTTAATAATTATAAAATGTATATGGTACCCGTCATGTTAGGGGGTGTATCATAGCCTTTCCCATTTTTGTAATAGAGTCTTGTTAACATGGACCCAAGAAAATAATAAATGACTTCAACTTCTCACTTGCATGGAAAATGTAGAATAAAAGTGGAAATTAAGTATGGTATTTTTGGAAAGCTATATAATTTTAGAGTTATGTTAGGGATTTCAAATATTCTACCAAACCTCTCATATGGGTGTGGGACCTACAGACATATGAATTTGTGTGAGTCACACCCTATGTAAGAAATTTGGTAGAATATTTAGAGTACGGTGATTCTACTTACACCACTCTTTTACCTCCTTACATCCTCTATCTCATTACACCACTTAAAAAAAAAATTTGAATTCTCATTACACCTAATATAGTACCAAAACAAACCCTATGATAAAAAACTCTTCAAAACTCATCTCTTTACACCCTTACTTTTGGAGGGAAAAAAGAACGACGCAGAGAGAACGACGTAGGGAAGAAGAGTAGACAACACAGGCGTGGAGGCGTTCGGGGAATTTAGGAAACCCTGACTCGGTGCCGAAGGCCACATGTCCGTCATCACCGGAGTTGTCTCGGCTCGGGAGCTTGGGTACGATCGGGGAAGGGCAGCTATGAGCACCCCCTCTCGCCCGGTCCGAAGACCGGCCTCTACTAACCGTGATATCCGTTTTTGAAAACTTTATGTGTTCTTATCCTAATTATTAGCCTATAATTACTATGTTATGCGCGCAGCAAACAAGTATAGACCAAATTGCCCAAATTGGAACAAAACATTCCATGTTCGTTTTGAAAATGGTTTGCTACTCATAAGTAGGCTAAAATACAGATCTTGCCACCCTCAAGTGTTTTTTTCGGAAAAGACGGTTTTGCCACTATCTAGTGGGCTTAAAACAAATATAGTTTTAACGCATCATCCCAATTTAAGCAATTTGACCTCCACCCACAGGCATTCAAGCAATTTATCTCATGTAAACACTTAGCCGCATGGCAGGCATACTATTATGGCAACATTCACACGCATGTTGGATGCTAAAGCATAACCACTTACATTGTACTCCGTGCCAAAACAATAAACTAGTTAGCAAATGTGCGTGTCCTAGTTCATGTTATTTTGCCTAATGCAACACATACAAGGTGCAATTCTAGTTAGGCTCGGTTAACCTAGATATGGCATACGATATGCAATCAACTGATTCATGTATTCAATTTTGGAATTTGAAAATACGAATGCGGTTAGTATGACGTACCGAGCCCGATGCATGTTAGCAGATGCATGAATGCACGCATGCATATCATAAGGTATGCTAATTTCAAAAAATGCCCTAATCTACCATCATAAGCTGGTAAATAAAAGGGAAGAAAGAAATAGGGATTGGAAGACATACACACACACTGTAGCCTGTTGCCTGGCAAATTCTGCCTGGCGGGCAGCATCTTGCTGCATCATTTTCATGCTTTCCTGAAGTTGGCGCACCATCTCCTCTAAGCTAGCCATACTGTTCTGCTCTGGTTGAATTGCTGGTATGCGTTCCCTCTC